AACAGCTCTGAGCAGGTTGATTAGAAAAAAATGGTTAGCTGTAGATTCAGTGCTCTTGTGGCACATTGGGGGTGTTCCTACCTTTAGGCCAGGAGGCCTGGGTTCAAATCCCACCTGCTCCAGCAATGTGTAATAATGTTTCTGAGCAGGTTGGTTTGAAAGTATCATTATTTATATATGTAGGGCATTTATGTGAAGTTGTTCTGTCCCTACCACTGAACTAAGAGGCTCGGATTGAGGTCCCACCTCTCCAGCGGATTAAGGGTTTTCCTGTTTGAACAGGGTAGGGATGGTGCAAATGAACACAAAGCTGGAGAAACTTGCTAGGTCTGAATGCATCTGTGGAGAAACCAAGTTGATATTTTGAATCCAGTACTACTACTTCAGAACTGAAAGGGCTTGGAAAATGTATTTTTATATACTTTGTCAGAGGCGGAAGAGGGCCGAAAGCTAGAGGTTCTGTGCCAAACAAAAAGGGTGGTGAAAGGGAAAAAAGAGAGGTGTAAAATGGGTAAAAATTAAAGTGTGAAAGGGAGAGAATAGATCCTCTCTAATCGAAGCAAAGTAAACAAGCCAAAGCTGTGTGTGTCGGGAGGGTGGGAAGAGGAGAGAGATTTTCAACAATTAGTCCTCAAGGCTGTAAAATGTCTAAGCAAGTGAGGTGTTGTTCCTCAAACTTGTGTATTGTGCTTTATTGGAATATTACACAGGCCCACAACAGGAAATATTAGTATGAGAGCAAGGTGATTTATTGAAATGGCAAGCCACTGAAGGTTGTGGCCAGTCCTATGGACATAGTGGAGGTGTTCTGCAAAATGATCATTCAGACTGCGATTGATCTTGCCACTGTAAAGGAAGGTGCATTATGAGCAGCAAGTACATTAGACCAGGTTGAAAGAAGTACTAGAAAAAAAATGCTGCTTCATTTAGAAATGTTTGTGGGACTTTGGACAGTGAAGATGTGAATGGGCAAGTGTTATACCACTGGCATTGATACATGGGGAGTGAAGAAGCGTAAGGGGTGATGGTGGATTGACCAGGGTGCCACAGAGGGAATAGTCCCTGCAGAATGCTGCTGAGAGGGGAAGATGTGTTTGGTATGGTGATGGTGCTATTTTGAAAGATGGGTAGCAGTAGACAAAGCAATTTTCAGTTGTGCCTAGCCCTGGAACCCGGAAAGGAAGTTGGGTGGCTAGCTGCTGAAAGGCAATTGGTTTAAATGATTAGTATGGTCTCAAGGAGAAGAACGCTTTTGTAAAGGGGTGTTGTATGAGGGAAAGTGGGACAGGAGCTAAGATGGAGAGCCAAAGTGGCAAAAGTGACTGGGAGAGGTTTGGCTGATTTGAAATGCCAGGCAGAACAGATTGGCTTCCATCTTTGTAGTAAAGGAAGCCCATGACTTCTCATCCTTATAATAAAAGCAAAGTACTTCAGATGTTGGAGGTCTGAAATGAAAAGAGAAAATATTAGACAACCTTGTCAGGTTTAGCAGCATCTTTGGAGAAGGAAACAGAATTAACATTTCAAGCCCGGTATGTTTCTCCAGTTTCAAGGAAGAGTTACTCTGGGCTTGAAGCATTGAAGCAGTTTCTCTCTCCATAGATGCTGCTGAGTTTCTCCAGCTGCTTGTTTTTATTTAGAATTATATCTGTTTATGGATAACTAAACCTGTTGAGCTTTATGCTTTTGCCTTAAGCAAGCAGAGATGAGGACCATAAAGGCAGTAATTAGGATGGAATAGAGTAAAGGTTATTGCATAACCTTGCCATTTGGAACTATCCCTATTCAGAGTTCATTTAAGTGAGCATTGCACATTTGTAATATACATAATTTCAAGCTTTTTTCAATAATTGTTTGAAATGAACAATTCATGACTTATTGTTTCTGCCATGTGTTGTATTGTATAAGCTTGGCCATTGCTACATAATAAAATATTTTTGCATTTGTTTCAGTACATGATTCATAACCCTGTTGTGAACTTAGGAAAAAGGAAAAATACTGTCTCACCAGAAGGTAAAACCTCAAAAAAAGCAAAAGGAGATGGGGACCCTAGCAAAGAGAAAAATAAGAAGCGGAAGAATGGTAGCAAAGAGAAGGTTTCTCGGAACCCTCCTTTGAGCCCAACGTTATGGGGTCATGTGCATGTGAAAAAGGCTATGAATGGGACTGGAATGACATACAATTCCAAAAGGTCTCCAGAACAAGAACTGGAAGAAGTAATGAAGATTGTAACACCAACCAAATTGAACACCAACTTCCACATTCCCAAAAAGGGCTCCAGTGCTGCTCGGAACTTAAAAAAGCTGCAAACTAAGGATAAAGTGAACAAAAAAGAGAAATCCAAGAACAAGGCTAAGTTGCTCAATGGGCAGAAGTCAGCAGGGAATAGCAAATCTCCAAAAAAGAGTCTGAAAACTCCAAAGTTGAAGATGAAACAGATGACGCTTTTTGAGATGGCAAAATCCAATACATCCAAGACTGGAAAATCCCCGAAGGGTGTTGGAGGAGCCTCAAGATCTATGTCTAAACCTCAGAAATACCTGCCACCTTTGGCCTTACAATTCCTTCGATATTACAAAGATAATAAGGGAAAGGAGGAGAAGAAAGGTGCAGTGTCTGCATTCATCACCCGGGTGGCCAAAGTGCTTTCTGCTGAAGAACGTGCTCGTCTACCAGAAGAAGTTGGTGATCTTGTTCAGAAACGTTATGAGATATTGGAGCACAAGAGGAAATGGGCAATGATGACTCTAGAAGAAAGAGCAGATTATCACAAAAAAAAGCGCGAAGAGCTAAAGAAAAAACTAAAGGAAAAGGCTAAAGAACGGCGAGAGAAGGAGATGCAATTAAAACTGGAAAAACAGAAGAGATTTGAAGATCAGACTCTTGCGGGAAAGAGCTTACCTGCACTTAAGCTAGTTGATACACCTGAAGGGCTCCCGAACACACTTTTTGGTGATGTTGCTATGGTGGTTGAGTTCCTCAGTTGTTATGCTGGTCTGCTAATGCCAGATGACCAGTATCCAATTACTGCAGTCTCCTTGATGGAAGCACTGACCTCTGAAAAGAGAGGTTTCCTCTATTTGAACAGAGTTCTGTTGATTCTCCTTCAAACTTTGCTGCAAGATGAAATTGCAGAAGACTACAGAGAATTGGGGATGAAGCTTTCTGAAATTCCTCTGACCTTGCACTCTGCTTCGGAGCTTGTTCGGCTCTGCATGCGCAAGTCAGATGTACAAAATGAAAGTGAAGCATCAGAAACGAATGAAGACAGCAAAGATTCTATGGGATTTGAAGATAATGAAGTTGCAGATGAATTACTAGATAAGTTGGAGACTTCTGAGTTTTTTGAACTGACCCCAGAAGAGAAAGTAAAGATTTTATCAGCGCTCTGCCATCGGATTCTGATGACTTACTCAGTTCAGGATCACATGGAGGATTCACAGCATAAATCTGCAGAGCTGTGGAAGGAGAGACTGGCCATGCAAAAAGAAGAAAATGATCGGAAGAAAGCAGAAAAGCAAAAGAAAAAAGAGATGGAAGCAAAAAAGAAAGAGCCAGAAAACAACAAAATGGGTGACAAGAAAAAGCCAGAGAAGAAGGAATTTGATAAGAAGCTAGAAGTGGACAAAGGTGGAAATGATTTATTAACTGACGTCAATGGCAGTGAAGACCTCATTAGTGCAATTAAAAGCAGGCGATTGATGGCATTGCAGGCTAAAAAAGAGAAAGAAGAGCGGGAAAAGCAAGAAAAAGAAAGGATGGAGAAGGAGGTGGAAGTAGAAAGGATTCGTAAACACAAAGCAGCAGCCGAGAAGGCCTTTCAGGAGGGAATTGCAAAAGCCAAGCTTGTCTTGCATCGATCACCGTTGGGCACAGACCGTAACCACAACAGGTATGTATGGTTTCTCCTTTCAAAAAAAATGTTTTGCCATTTTCATTTGGCTTCTGTCAAGGTTGCACCCAATTCTATGGTGAAAAATAGTTGGCTTTTTAGGTTTTTTAAATGTTAACATAACTACAAGGAGCAAAAACAGAAGCCCTTTCTGTTCAAGTGGACTTAACTTTTCATTATTCATACTCCTATTATACTGCCATCTGATGGGAAAAGAATAGCTATTGTGCTACTGTCCAATTGAGGTTTCTCAAAACTCAATAAAATGTTAACTTGACATGAATTGAACAGATGGTTACCTAACCATCTGATCCATAACAGGAGAGGAAATTTAATTCTTTGACCTCAGACACCCTTGCATTGAGCAGCTTGCCTGAACTCGGCAGTATGTTGATTCTGACCAATAGGTGGGAGCACAAATTCAAGTTTCAGTAAGCTGTTACTGGTGAATTGAAGAAATGATTCCTGTTGGTTTGTAAATTGATCTAGTGGGGAAGAAGCCTGGCACAGAGAAGAGCAGCACTCCTGGAGACATAAATAAAAATTTTGAACACTTTTTGTATTCTATTCCTTGATTCTCTTGCTTCTATGTTACCCTGAGCAAAGTCTCAGTACCATCCGTGCTCACGCCTGTGGTTAAAATTGCAGTTAGGCCTCACACAAAGAAAGGTGGTTGTGGTTGTTAATCACCTCAGTCCTGGGATGTCTTTGCAAGGGTTCCTCAAGGTAGTATTGTAGGTCAAACCAAAATCAGCTGCTTCATCAATAACCTGGCCTCCATCATAAATTCAGAAATGAGAGTGTTTGCTGGCAATTTGCACGGTTTTTAATATCATTTATGGCTCCTCATGGAATTTGCTCACAGCCGTGTGTAGTGAAGCTTGGAAAAATTCAGGCTTGTGCTGAAAAGTGACAAATAACATTCATGCCACACCATTGCCCGTTTAATAATCATCTCCAATCAGAGAGAATCTGAACATCGCTATCAATGAATCCCTAATCATCAATATTCTGAGCATTACTATTGATCAGAAACTGCTTTATAAATAAAACAAAAGTGTGGATGCTGGATATCTGAAACAAAAACAGAAATTGCTGGAGAAACTCAGCAAGTCTGGCAGCGACTGCAGATCTTTAACTCTGCTTTCTTCCCACAGATACTGCCAGAACTGCTGAGTTTCTCCAGCAATTTCTGTTTTTGTTTCAGCTTTATAAGTGCTGGGCCTTCAGGAGCATGTCAGTGATTAGGAAATCTGACTTAAGTAGCTCACCTCCTTTCTTGTCAATGCTTGTCCATTACCTGCAAGGCACAAATCAGGAATGTGATAGAATACTTTCTGCTTGCCTAGATTAACGCCACTTCCACAACACTGGAATCTTGACACCATTCTGAGTAAAGGAGCACGCTTAGTCGGCACCTAATCAACCACTTTCAATATTTACTACCTTCGCCTCTGATACATCATGTCAGCAATACATACTGTTGCACTGCAGCAACTTACCATGGCTCCTTTGTTGGCACCTTTACAATCAACAGCCTCTACCACATAGAGGGAACGACAAAAACTGCTTGGGAATACCACCACGTACAGGTTCCCCTCCATGCTGCACACAACCCTGACATGGAACTATATTGCCATTCCTTCACTATTGCTGGAGGCCGTGTTCTATAGGTGTACCCAGACCAAATGCACACAGTAATTCAGGAAGACAGCTTATCACCACCACCTCAAGAACAGTTTGGGGGGTGCAGTATAAGCTGCCCCAGCCAGTAAAACCCACATTGAACAAAAACAGAAGACCCCAATGATCTGTTCAGAGCCTTCAGCTGTAATTGGAAATGTACTATGCAGGAGCTTGTTGTAGTTGCTTTGCACTTTGGAATTGGGAGTACCCTTTGTGGAAAGTAACCAAGTTTATCATTAGCTGGGTGAAGCTGAGGAGTAAAGGAATGTCAAAATTTTATTATTTCATTGCAAAAGCAAATTATGTTTGTGCAATGGCTTGTAGGATGTTACTCAATATTCTGTGTTCTTTCTTGAAAAATGTTAATTATTTCAGGCTGATGTTTCCATTATAGCAAAACATGTTAGAACAGAATGTTGGATGTTGGGTCGTATAGGGGCTTGCTTTCATCTAAACAGACTTGTGATTCATCTTTTCTGTAGATACTGGCTGTTTTCGGATCTGGTGCCTGGTCTGTATGTAGAGAAAGGTTGGGTGCATGACAGCATTGACTACAGCTTTACCATTCCTGAAGAATACATTCAACATGAAGAGGACCAGGATTCCAAAAGTAAAATGACAATCTTTTACTTTTTAATTTGCCTCTAAACATAGCTACCTCTATTCATTCAGTAAAATAACTGAGAAAATCTATGGCAAAGGACAATGCCCTGTGCCCTGAGTTTCCTATGATACATCAGTAATAATGTTTTCAAATGTGCTTCATTAGGCATAAAGTGCTTTGCGATGGCTGATGTTGTGAAAAGTGCTATATGAATGCCAGTCTTCCTTTACTCAAAATCAAGAAACCGTTGTCTTAAAATGACCAAAGATATCAGTTGTCCTTCTGGTCTAAGTATTGTACTCAGCAATATGGACTAGAATACCTGATGTTCATGCTAAAATTAGCCTCAGCAGCCAGGCAAGAAATAAAATGAGCTAGTTTCTCTTGCTCCTGGTTGCTTTCCTGTGATCTGAGTTTGAAAGTGCTTGTTTGGGTGTCAGATGAGCATACTTTTGCAAATGGAGTCTACAGGCAAGAAACATTGAGATATTGGCACTTGCAATTCTGTGCTCTCTGCCATCTGTCATCTAGGGGGCACAATCACTGGCTCTATACTGCTGGGTGTTTATTTCTGCCTAGGTCTGCCTATGATTTTACATGGTAAAGCCAATATCAGTAAGAAAATAGACATTTTCTGGTCTCTCTCCTCTACTTCATAATTTCTTCCTTTGGTTTTAAATAACTTCTAAAGAGATCTTTTTAACTTTTAATTCTAAATATTGAACTTCATATCATTAATATATTATGAATACCTATCATCCAAATAATTGGCCAGCCAGCAATGCTCACATCCCTCAAATGAATTTAAAAAAAAGGATAAATGCTTCTTTAAATATGAAAATATGAAAAGAGAGAGTCCAAAATGAACATCGACCTCTTGGAGAATGAGGCTAGGGAAATAATGGGGAACTAGAAAATGGCAGGAGTGTTGATTAAGTACAGTCTTTCATGTCAGATGACATTAATACCATTCTGAAAACAATAAATAATCAAAGAGTTGAAGTGTGAGGTTGGGGAGAGTATAAATACACTATCAAAAGACTAAAAGTACTAAGGAATCTAATGGGCCTCAAAGCCAATAAATACCTTGTACCTGATGGATTGCAACCTAAGTTATTAAAAGAAGTGGCCACAGAGATAGTGGATGCACTGATAGTAGTCTTCCAAGAATCCTTCAGTCGTGAAAAAGTCCCACAGACAATTGGAAAACTGCTGGTGTAATGCGTTTATTCAAAAAGGGAAGGTGACACAAAATATAGAACTAAAGGCCAGTTAGCTTAACATCTGTTATTGGGAAAGTATTAAAGTTTATCGTAAAATACATAATAGCAGGACACTTAGAAATACATAATCTAATAAAACAGTCAGCATGGCTTCATTGAAGGGGAAATCATGTCTGACACATTTATTAGAATTCCTTGAGTTGGTAACAAACAGGCTAGCGAAAAGAGAAACAGACAATGCAACATGTTTGCATTTCCAAAAGTTATTCGATAAGATACTTAAAATAAGAACTCATGATTTTGGGAGTAGTATATTAGCATGGATAAAGGATTCACTAACAAATAGAAGACAGAAATTTGGGACGGGGGCCATTTTCAGGATGGCAACCTGAAAGTAGTAGAATGTCATAGGAATCTATGCTAGGGGCCACAATTATTTAGAATATATATTAATGATTTGAATGAGAGAAGTAAATGCATAATTGCCAAGATTGCGAATGCCACACAAGTAAGAGGAAGATGAAATAGTGAGGATGACAGTGTCTGCAGAAGAATATGTCAGGTTAAGTGAATTGGCAAAATGTGGGTGATAAAATTTAGTATGGGAAAATATGAGGTCATGCACTTTGGCAGGAAAAATAGAAGGGCTAAATATTGTTTAAATGGAGAATGAATGCAGAAAGCTACAACACATAGAAATTTGAGGGTCCTTGTCCATGTGTCAAAAAGCTAGCATATCCAAGTTTAATGTGTAATATAGAAGGCAAATTGACTTTTGGCCTTTACTTCAAAGGAAATAGCATGTTAAAATCAAGGTCCTGCTAGAACTATAAAGGCACCAATCAGACCACACCTGGAATACTGTGAACAATTTTGGGCCCATAATCTAAAGAAAGAGATATTAGCATTTGATGCAGTCAGAGGAGGTTTGCTGGGACAATCGGGATATGGGCAGATTTTCTTAAAAGGAGAAGTTGAATAGTTTGGACTTGTACCCATTGGAGTTTAGAAGATTGAGAAGGTTATTGAAGCATACAAGATTTGAAGAGGTCCTGACTGAGTCAATGTGGAGAGGTGGTTTTCTTTTGTGGGAGAGTCTAGGACCAGAAGGCGTCATCTCAAAGTAAGGGGCTGTCCATTTAGGACACATGAGGAATTTTTTTTGAGAATACAAATCTTTGGAAATGTTTACCACAGAGTGTCAAAGCTCATGGTAGGTTTATTCAAGGCTGAGATAGATTCTTAATCAATAATGGAATCAAGGGTCATGGGGGTGAGTCAGGAGAGTGGAGTTGAGGATTATCAAATTAGCCATGATCACGTTGAATAGCAGAGCAGACTCAAAGAACCAATTACCTACTACTTCTCCAGCTCTCATATGCCTTAAAACAAAACACCTCTCCCTGAAATATAAAAATGCAAGAATCTGGTAAGAGTGTGTAACTGATATAAATTGGTCTTTGTAAAAATGCATTATTGGGGAAAGTAATGGGACTGAAAGTTCACATCCCTGGGACACAATGACTTTCGCAGTAAACATGAAAGAAATGGCACTAGAGATTGTGGAAGCTTTGGCGATCATCGTTCAAACTTCTCAACTCCACAACAGTGCTTCTAGATTGGAAGGTTTCAAATATAACTCCACTGTTAAAGAAAATAGCATTCATGTCTGACAAATCTGATTAGAGTTTTTATTTGAAGATGTAACTGGCCGTTTCAGTTTGGGGGAACCTGGATATAGTGCACTTGGTTATTCAGAAGGCTGTTGATAAAATCCCAAACAAATTGAAACACATGGGATTAGGGGTACTGTACTAGCATCCTAGAAGCAGAGTTTAGAAATAAATAGGACATTCTCAGATTGACAAGCTGCGGCCAGTAGAGTGCTGCAAGGATCAGTCTTGAGCTCCATCTTTTCCCCATCTATATCAATGGTTTGGATGTAGGGGTCAATTGTAATAATTGCAAGTTTATAGATGATTTAAATCTTGGTGGGAATTTGAATTGTGAAGTGGTTGCAGAAAGGCTTCAAGGGGGTTTATACAGGCTTAGTTGGAAACTGCATGCCAGATGGAATATAATCTGGTTAAGTGTGAGTTATCCACTTTGGTAGGAAGAACAAAAGTGCAGAGTATTTCTTAAAAGGTGAGAGATTAGAAGGTGTTATTGTCCAAAGGGATCTGGGTGTCCTTGTTTATAAGTCACTGAAAGCCAGTATGCGGGTGCGGCAGACCATTCCTAATTGCATGTTAACCTTCATCACAAAAGGATTTATACATAGGAGCAAAGATGTCTTCCTTCAATTGTACAGAACAGTAGTGAGCAGCCCCTGGAGTATTGTTTGCAATTTTCACCTGTGTTTAAATCCTGTATATACGATTAGAATCAGAAATCCTCTGCTGTTTGTGCCACGTTGGTCTAATTCCTAGTTTGGTACTGATTGGTAATCTTGCTCTGGGAAACCAAAAATGGCTAACTTGTGAAATGAAAATCACGGTGCTGGTGAGATTGGGGAAGCTTTTCTCTGCATCAGACATGATGCAACTGGAATGAGAAACTTCTGTTTTCCGGTGTTGATCCTGATGTGTAGCAAAAACATGATAAAGGTTTTTAAAAGTAAGAATCTGGCATCTTTCTTCACAAAATTCCCTTGTGGAAAGGAAGCTGTGATTGCATCAGTTTGTGATAGGTAGAAAGTTATATGTTTCTGTTTGCTTAGTTAATTGTGTTTGGATAATTATGTTAAGAATGCTGATATTTGGTCTCTTTATAACTTGATATAAACTGAGTGCTATATCCTGAAATTATAGGTAACTCGACTTTTCTCTTCTAGGTAATGATGATGATAGCATTGCTGACAGCAGCTTAAATGACAGTGGCCACCAGGGGTCCTCCCATACTGCAGATATTTGCATTGAAACCACTGTTCCAAAACAAGGACAAAACCTATGGTATGTCCTGCTTTTTCAGTGTTTACTCCTATCTAATAGTTTGGATTCTAACAGAGATCAGGCTTTGTAGTAGTGAATGTTTTAGAAACTACTCAAAATCTGTTGGTTTTAAATACAAATTCTAGTTTATTTTTTCCCCAATCACTGGTGTGGTTTTATTGCACAAGTAGTGCTCTTGCACCAAGTGGAGGGAAGTGTTCTGGGACTTTGAACAATGCTAGGACAGCAGTTGACCTAGTTATGATGAGGATCAAGATTCAGCTTGAATGTCTTCCTACTCCGTATTCCAGTAACGTGCACTCACCATGTCAGTTTTTGTGTTAGCAGAACATTAAATACCCTTAATTGCCAACTTAAGAGCGGAGGAAATTGTGGCCAGAAAATCTTGAGGGAATTTTGTTACTGCAGAAAATTTGAACCATGTCTCAAAACTGTTTCTGGAGTTTAAATCTTGAAGTCCTGTTACAGAATCCCATATAAAGAAAAGGCCTAAGACATATTTGTGATCAGTAAAGCAAAAGAATATTTCTTTACATTATATACCAGAATGGTTTAGAGGAGTGTGGGCCAAATACTGGCAAATGGGACTAGGTCAGATTGAGATGTCTGGCCGGCGCAAACGAATTAGGCCGAATGATCTATTTCTATGCTGTATGACTCAATAAGTCAACTGTCCTATAAAGAGTGAAAAGACGTTCATGAAAACACTTTGAATAAAATTGGCCCCACATTTGAATTTAGAATGTCTCCATTGCAATTTTGTAATTTTTCAAATGATTAACATCCTGCACATTATTTGTTTAACTAAACTCTGTATGCAGGGATTATGCAACCCTAATTGGGATGATTTAGCTGACTTTTGCAGGCATGTCAGCTTTTTCCTAGAGATTTGAGTATTTTGGTATTTTCTGTTCAGGCATTTGTTCACTATGAGTCAGTGGTTTCTGCCTCTGGAAATATTGATTGGCAGTGTTATTGATTTTTATCTACAGGTTTATTTGTGACGCTCAGAAAGAACTCGATGAACTCCTAAACTGTCTTCACTTGCAAGGTGCCAGAGAGAGTGCTCTCAAAGAACGTCTTCAGAAAAAGTAAGTCTTCAAAGTTCCATAGCTTGCTGTACTTGCCTCGGAAAAGCAGAATCAATTCATGTTCTTTACAATTGTAGCACTTTATCTTTAAACTGAACTGGCACTGTCAACTCACTATCAAAAACTTTTTTAGTGAAGGTACTCCTAGTGAGCAATACTGTTCGCATTACTCTGGCTATATCAGAAATACTTATTGCATCCTTGACTATAGCTATTGAAAGTTTTTCTCTCTATCTTCTCCTGAAGGCACATGCCTGATAAAAGATTGTGGTTCCATGATGCCAAACACCTTCCAGTGCACCATCAACATACTTGTTCTGTAGTTGGTGGTAGTCTGTTTGTCCATGGAAAGACATTCATAACAACTGAACCTGTTCTTTTGGCAATTACAGTGTGACTGAGTTGGCAGGAAGGGAAATTCTAGCTTATTTATAAATTCCTCTACTCCCTAGAACAGTTAAGGCCAATTTTAACACTCCAGTAGACACTCAGGCTAGCATTGGTAACTGGGTACAAACTTGGAATTAATTCTGGGACCTTCCTTTTCAGCATGTTACACTCTCTTTCCCTATTGAGTATGTGGGGAATTGCCTGCATATCATTAACCAGCAAATTTAAGCTTTCAACTGCGATGGTATTGCATTATTGTAACTACTGAATTCAAGTGTTTGATTAAACACATTCTTTGAGTGGATTTACAGGTTTTTGACAATGCAAAGTATGTAACTTTATTTGTTCTCATGAGATCTTATTTCCATAATTGGCCATCTTAATCTTTTATTGAAGTAAGATAATTATTCAAAGCAGAGCTTGAATGTGATGGAATGTTGGTGAACATATTTCCTGCTCCTGCAAACTGACTCCATATTTCAGGTGTGCAGACTTAATGACCAGAATCTTTAAAGGTGTAGTGCTAAATTTGGTGCACTGTTTTTAAAAGGGAGATTTTTTTCCATTGAAGGCATTGAATTACTAAAATATTATTTTGTTTAAGAACATGAGGATTCACTTTGGATCAATCTGCTAAAGGATTTAAAACAAGATCACTAACTGGCTGGTTTCAAGTATATTATAGAGTAATCTTGGGTCGTATGAGCTTCAATCTTTAGTGCTGAGTCACTTAGTCTTGTTTAGGAAATAGCACTGATCTTGAATGAAAAATGGTTTGGTTCCTGATGATCAATGCTGTCTGAAGGAGGTGTTTACATATATCGAAATCAGAGGTGTACAGGAATTGAATCAATTACCCTACCATGGTCATGTGACTTTTATGAGGCATCCAATTGCGTGTTTGATTGGTCAATCCATTTTGTTATTTTCTTCATTTCTAAATTTAATCAGTTGCCTGTAATTGGGGTGGAGGGAATGCTGAAGCATTCTATATTTTCTCTCTTCCTGAGTATTGAGAATACTAACTTGTTCTAGGGAAATGGTTTTACAAGGCCAGACACTTCGTATTACCTTCAATAAATTATCACTCCTGAATCTCATTATTTGATTATCTTGTAGTGAAATGAGTGGAATCGGGGACAAGGATGACCAGAACAGTCCTTACCTATGTATGCATACTTTACAGAATAAGTCACTATTGCAAATTGGGAAGGAGTGCCACCTGATTTAATTTCATCCTCTTCCTACTCAACAATGTTTTGAAAATGCTGTTCTCCCTGTAATTGTGCACTGACTACAGCTTAATATAGAAAATAAGCTAATTTTTCATCTTCAAACTATAAAAGTAGATTAGTCGGCTTGTATGTATCATCTGTATGGACTGATTTAATCAGTTATTATCTTCAACTATGTTGACTGTCTTTTATACTGATTATAAAAGTTATTGAGTTTATTAACTGGAAAATATATCTTTGTTGCATAATTAGCTTAATATAGGTTGATTTTTTTTAAAAATAGCAGCTTCTATTTTTAGGTATCAAGATATCCTTCACTCACTGCACTTGGCACGGAAACCAAACCTTGGCCTCAAGTCCTGTGATGGTCATCAGGAGCTCCTCAATTACTTGCGAACTGACCTAATTGAAGTGGCAACACGACTGCAAAAGGGAGGGCTAGGATACATGGATAAATGTGATGAGTTTGAGGAGAGGGTGAGTAATCATACAGACGTGCTGCTGTCCTTAGCAAAGAGGTAATTATATGGTGACCAGCTGTATTATACAGGGCATGTTAGCACAGTGTTTCTTTGTTAATAGCTGTTCAGAATCTGTGAACTGGTTCCCAGCAAAGCAGAGCTAATAAAATCAGTGCTTCCTTTTCCAGTTTAATGTCATAATGAAGGTTTGGCTTAATTCCAGTTGTTTTCTTTGTTCACCAAAGTGGGACAGTTAAACTCATGGGTCCTAGCCCAGCAAAGCATAGTTGTTCCAAACAACTATTCAGATAAATTTAGATTTGGACTCTTCATTAAGAACATATCATCAGGATTTAAACTAACAATTTATATTTATGTCATAAAAATGCCTTACTCAACTGTGTTTATAAATTCTTATAAATCAGCCCCTCTACAGAAATATATTTTTTCTATCATCTCCAAGTATGACGTTAAGAACTAGATTTTGTTAATAATCAAGAATAGTAAGGAAATAGAGGAGAGAATTGAAGTTAGTCCAGAAGGCAAAGAGATGTTATAAGAAAAGGTCAGCAGAAAAAATTATATTGAGCCCAAAAATATTTTATAAGCACATAAAGTGTAAGCACTTAGCTCAGAAAACGTTTGTGCTTGTTTCAAAATCTAAAGGAAAATCTTGATGTCGAGGCATTGCAAAAGTCTGAACTCTTCATAAAGGAAGTAGATGATGTGAAATTGTATTAAGAGTGGAGATTGATGTTATGGACAGGATAATAATATATAAGAAAATCTCCATGAAAAGATTAACATTCCTGCAAGTTGGAAAGTCATTGGGTTGAGATAGAATGCATTCTAGGTTACTGAAATGAGGAAAAGTAGAAGTAGGCAGAAATTGATTATCGTTTTTCAATCCTTACTGGATATAGCAGTAGTGCTAGAGGTTGGGCCTGTTAGCTTAATAAAAGTGGTGGATAAATTATTGGAAGCTTTAAACTTTTGATTGGAAAGGAGTGGGTTATGGATGACATGGGCAAAAGCATGGTGGTTTGTACTTAATACAGAGAAGTGTAAAGTGATGCAATTTCAAAGGACTGATGTTGAAAGACAGTGTACTATAACAGCATAATTTTGAAAAATGTAGATGATAACAGAGATATTTTATGTCCATTTACATTAACTTTTGAAGATGGCAGAGCAAGCTGTTAACTTGGTTAAAAAGATCAAACATGAATGAAGAAGATCCTCATGCCCATAAGTAGACATTAGAGGAATAGAATGTAAAATCAAAATGGTCATAGTAAAATTTATAAATCTCCGATTATGTCTCAGCTGAATTATTGTAGGCCGGTGCTTGCCAAACATTTTTCCACTGTGACCCCATATTGAAAATTGTCATGACTGTTCAGTGAGAACTTAAGATCAGGGATAGGAAGATGGCTGTTCCCGCCTAAGAACTTGGAATCCAAGCAATTCAGCTGTGACCCCAATTGGGGTCCTGGCCCCCACGCCCTGTTGTAGGCAGTTTTGGACCCCATATTTCGGGAAAGCGCTGGAAGCCTGACTAGCTTTATTATGATGGAACCAGGGATGAGAAACCTTAATGATAAGGAGATATTGTAAAAGTTAGGGCTGAGAAAGTTACGATGTGACTCAAGTGTGACTTTTAGTTTGTAGGTTTTCGCAGATTTAAAGAGCAAAAAATGGTAAGTTGGTCAATAACTGAAAATCATTGATTTTAAATGATTGATAAAATGTTTAAAGGAGAGAGAAACTCTTTTTTTCACCCGAGTTTCAAGATCTGCAGTGTTCTTCTTAGAAAAGTGCTCTCTAGCTAGATTTAAAAGAGAGTTCGATAGACCCCTACGTTCATCATCAGGGACAATGCAAGTATGTAGAACTAAGCACGAGCTCTTTCATAGAACCAGCATAAGGATGATGGGCTTGAATGACTTGCTTCTGTGCTGTACATTTCTCTAACATGTCCTGTGATGTATGTACAGTGTGTGATCATGCTTGGATCACATGTTCCCATATTCAAGTAGTTTGCAACATTGATCCAGAGCTTAACCCAACATCTGTCATAATAAATACTGGAATCAAACTGATTAATGGGCACAAAACAAAGAGTAGTAATAAATTGTTCATTCTCGGGGTGACAGGTTGTCACTGCAAAAATTAGTGTGAACTGCTGTGGCTGTAGCAATCTGTGCAATTGACATTGGATGAAGGAGTCAGATATATGGTTAAATTTGCTAATGATATAAAGACAGGTGGAAAAGAGTTATGAGGAAAATGTGAAGACTGCAAAGAGATAACGTTGGGTTCGGTAAATGGATAAAAAATGGTGAATGGAGTGGAATAATGTTAACTTTTCACTTTGGCAGAAAAGAATAGAAAAGTATCATACTATTTAAATAGAGAAGGATTACAGAATACTGAAGTGTAGAGGGATTTCAGTGGCCTGGTACATGAATCACAAAAATAGCATACAGGACGTAAATGAGTTAGCAATAGTTTGGAGAAGTTTCAGTCAACTGGCTGGGAAGTGGATGTTATCTTTTGACAAAAGGTTGGACAGGCTGCAACTGTTTTTATACATGTTTAGAAGAATTAAAGTTATCTTATTGAACCATGCAAGACTATGAGGGAGAGGCCAAGCCAAAACACAGTGAGCGTAGCCTTAAAAATAAGGCTTCTCCTGTTTGACTCAGATTAGGAGTCACATTTTCTGAAGATTATGAGCCTTTGAAACTTTCTTTCACAGAGGAGGCTGGGGAAGCAGGGGCTTTGAATACTTCTAAGACAATGAAAATTCTTGACAAATAAAGGAGTCAAGAGTTATCCAGTGCCAAATGGCCTATTCCTGCTACTCATTTGTATGAAGATGTGGGTAGGTGAAACCAGGTAGTGGCTAGTGCATGTTGAATTTTTATTTCTGCAATTGAATGATACCTTTGGGGATGTGGGAGGGAGGTAAAAAAGTAATTATCTTACCAGTGATTCAGCATTTTCTTTTCTGGTAAGGGATGCCAAGCTTCAGTTGACGCTTATGTTTATGTTTTCAGTGTCCCAATGCATATTACATCAGAGATTCAGCCAGCGCTTTCTAGGAAATTGAGAACGAGTGACTAGTTCTAGTCAATTTATTTCTTGTAATGCTGATTGGGGCTGCAGTCCAAACACCTTCTGCCGCTCCTTCATTGGTGCATAGGATCTTATCGTTGAGTCAAACTGGGCAGACTTGGATTTTCCTATGTTGGCTCCATTTCTCCAGTTTCTCAGCCATTATTGGTGGACCTGTGCCTGCTATCAAGTCAATGCTTTCTAATCTTCTGCTGTTACTCTGCTAGGTACGCTCGCTGGAGAGCCTGAAAGATTTGGGTGAGTGTGTGATCACACTACAAGAGTGTATAGTAAAGAAATTCCTGCAAGGTTTTATGGCCCCCAAGCAAAAGAAGAAAAAAGCAGGCGAGGAAACAAAAGTGGAGGAAATCGATGAGGAGAAAAAAATGGCTGAAGAAGCTAAGGTAAATTTGGGAATTTCACCCTGATGACTTGACAGATTTGCTTCCCTAAAGGACATTGGTGAACCAGATGGATTTTTTTCAACAAATAATGACAGGTTCATCATTGCAATTAGACTAACCTTTTATCTCAGATTTGTATTGAATTCAAATTTTGCCATCTATCATGGTGATATTTGAATCATATTGTCCAGAACGTTAGTCTGGGATTCTGGCTACTGGACTTGCTTCTCCCTTCTAACTGCTTTCTCTTCTTTAAAGATGGTCCTTAAAACCCTTCTCTTGGTCCAAGCTTTTGGTCACACGTCCTAATGTCTTTGGTGCATAATTGTTTTTTTAATCTAAATACACTCCTGTGAAGGACCAGGGAAATTTTACTGCATTAAAAAGCACCATAAAAATGCAAGTTCTGTTTTTAATGTAACCCAACTTTCAATTAATTGGAGTGTTTCCACCAGCCTTAACTGTACCAATACATTAAAAAAGGAAAATCCTGTTTAAGTCAATATGCTTTAATGTTACATTATGATCTGCATCTGTATAAAATTCATCACTTATAATTTGTCATAGTACCACTATTTTATTATACGTTGAAAATGCTGTTTTGAGTTTTGGAAAAAAACTGCAATTCAAGTAAACATAAAATGAACACATTGCATTTCAGTAACATTTAGTGCAAAGTCAGTGTGATTACTGAATTGTACGTATTAAGTCCATCTGTGAGACAGAATGATGAATGCGGAACTGTATTATGAAATAGTTTTGGTCTTACCATGTATCTCCATACAGCTGTATTACATTGCACGGATGTGACCAAGAGGGGGCAATATCAGCAAGTGTAACTGAACAGGATAGTCATTTACTTTATGTAGTTCAGGAGAGGGATAACATCGGGAACAGGCAGTCATTGATTAGTCGTTTTCATGAAATAGAGTATTGTGCTACTATATTTTAGTTAAGACATGAGCCTGGTTCTATTTTAGGTGTTGGTAGTGTTCCACAGTAATCAGTTATTGCTGAATAAATATTTATTTAATCTAGTTACGTGTGGTGACCATTGACTATCCATTTGTCTAGCCAGTAGTAGCAAGTGTAGACTGTAAACTGAATCAAATTATCAGGAGCGACTCTTACGTGCTTTGGAGAATAGCAGATGGCAAGGAGTGATTTTGATTTTAATTTGACTGCTGGTCCTTATTTTTCATTGTACCTTTCGTTTTTGTAGCACAGGCTATATTATCATACCATTCATCTTTGTTTTATTTAATTGAAAAACTCCGAAAGTTTGTGATTATTAAATTATTCTGATTATCAGAGATAGAAAGACGGGTCTATTTAAAGATCAAATAGATAGCTCAAGCAGTGATTGAAAGCAGTTGATACTGGTCGAACTTTGTGTCTAAGAGCGGAGTTCTTTAATGGCTCTAATGATGTCATGGTTGTCCCCACTTCTGAATCAAGAAGCCCAAGTTCAAGTCCCATCTGCTCCAAAGATATGTCATAATATGTTGAATGAGTTGATGTTTATAAAGATCTACAAGATGAGTTAGACCAGTACATGTCATTTGTAGGTTTGTAATTTTAAAAAAAAGTGCTGCATTCTTGGGATTCTTGCACATTGGTAAAGTCACTACCACTGAGCCAGAATGCCTGGGTTCAAGTCCCATCTGCTCTAGAAGTGTGCTGTAACATGTCTGAATAAGTTGATTAAAATAGCTAAAAGTAGAGGGAGTTGTTTTTAATAATCCGAGTTCTCAGTGGTTAGCATTGCTGCTTCACAGCGCCAGGGACCCGGGTTCGGTTATAGCCTTGCGTGACCGTGCAGACTGTACACAGACATTCTTCCTGTGTCTGCTTGGGTATCCTCCATGTGTTCTGGTTTCCTCCCACAGTCCAAAGATGTGCAAGTTAGGTGAATTGGTCATGCTAAATTGCCCGTAGTATCCAGGGATGTGCAGGCTAGATGGGTTAGCCATGAGAAATGCAGGGATATTGTGGGGGAGGGGGTCGGGGGGGCTGGTGGTGTGTGGGGGTCGGGGGTTCTCGATAGAATACTCTTCAGAGAGGCAGTGTGGACTCAATGGGTTAAAAATGGCCTGCTTCCATACTATAGGGATTCTATGATTAATGAGCTACTTTTGTGGTTCAGTTGGTAAACCATCATTGAGCTTGCACAGATGTGTTGATCTTTGTTAGGAACTGCTTGGCTGCTAAGACTATGATTGGAGATTGAGCCACCTAGACTTGCAGCTGAAAACTTGTGCTTTGCAACAAGACTGCTTGCTTTGGAGAAATCAGTGAAGGCAGTTTCCAAATATTTTTATTTGCATCATGTTAAAGGTTAAGAAAATGTCTGAAGGGAATATTTCAGTATAAAGGACTCCGTTTCTACTATTGTTAAATGTATCAGATTTGTGAAGCATTTACTTTTCTCCTAGCTATATGACAGTATAAGCCATAAGTATGATACCTTTGTAATCAAAAAGATTGTCCATGTTTTCCACACATACTTCAAAGAGAGAGAACATTTCCTAAGATGAATCGTTAAACTGCTTTATTTCATACTGATTCAATGTATCAGTTTATCAGCCATTGAACTTGCTACAGAACAGCCTGTCTTTCTGTAGTAATACTAAGTAATGAATATGCTATTTCTCCTTATTGATGGGTTGTCGAAATTTAAAGAAGACTTCTATCTGCTCTCTATTCTTCTTTTGAGTTTAGTCAAAGCTTGCCTTTGAACATTTTGCTTGAAGATGTCATTGACATTGTAACCTTTTCTGTGGCTCCGTTTATTTATCACCTCTATTTGCAACCAGAAAGGACCAGACTTTTTTATTTCTAAACTGTCTTATTGTCTCTTCACTAACTTGCCACAGGTTGCATCTGCCCTGGAGCTATGGAAGTGTGCTATACAAGAGGCTCAGACTTTCTCTCGTATGCATGTACTGCTTGGAATGTTGGATGCTTGTATCAAATGGGATATGTCAACTGAAAATGCCCGATGTAAAGTGTGCCGTAAGAAAGGTAAGCACATGATCCTACATGAACTGATCTTTTCAAATTTGTTGTGTTGGAAACCCGTCAGTTGAAAATATTATTAGATTATGTTTCTATGGATGTTTTCACAAATATAGATTAAACAGAAAACACATCTGGTTAACTCTTACCTGAAGCAGAAATCCTGGCTTAAAGATATGGTTTAAGGCTACTGATGACTTTAAGAAAGATTTTCACCTAGAATATTTACCTCTCTCTCTGTTGTCAGATGCTGGAATACCTTCTTTATGTACTTGGCATTTTTGAGGTTTTTCAGAATGCCCAAAAGCATTCTTGCTTTCACAGGATGTGGGCTTTGTTGACTAGACCACCGTTTGTGGCCCATCCCTGAATGCCCTTGAGAACCTAATAGTGAGCTGCCTGTGACTTCAATTTGTCAAGTCTATATACACCCTGAGTGTTGTTGAGAAGGGTGTTCTAGGATTTTGATCCAGCAGCAGTGAAGGAATATCAATGTAGTTCCAAATCATGATGAAATGTAGCTTGGTGGGAACTTGCAATATTGCTGTTCCCGTGCACTTGCTGTCCTTTCCAAGCTGGTACAGGTTGCTTGTGGGTTTGGCACATGCAGTTGAAGGAGCTTTGGTGAGTTGCTGCAGGGCACATTGCTGCCACAGTACTCCATGGTGAAGGAGGTGAATATTTAAGATGGTGGATGATGTACCAATCAAGCACATGCATTAAAATGAGTTGAGTTCAGGTTGTTGACAGTTGTTGGAGTTGCAGTCATCCAAGCAGGTGGGAGAGTTTTTCATCATATTGTGACTTCTTTCTTGTAAATGGTGAACAGGCTTTGAGGAATTAGAAGGTATTACTGTCTGCAAAGTCCCAAGCCAATTACACCTGCTTGTGTAGCCATACTATTTATATGGCTGGCCTAGATCAATTTCTGGTCAATATTGTATTCGACCCCAGAATGTTTGCAGTATCAAATTAACAATGGTAGTGCCATTGAATATCAAAGGGAGATGGTCTTGTTGGATGTGGTCTTTGCCTGCCACTTCAGTGTTAGAATTAGGTTTATTGTCGTATATACTCACATGAGTGCAGTGAAAAGTTTACAAAATTGCCACTTGCGGCATCATCTTAGGTACAAATATATCTAGGTACAGGATCTGACGAATAAATTAGAAAAATACAGAAAAAAGTTTCAGCATTACAGTCACAGAATCCCTACAGTGTGGAAACAGGCCCTTTGGCCGAATAAGTCCACACCGACCATTGGAGCATCCCACCCAGACTCATTCACCTATAACCCAACTAAGCTACACATCCTTGAACATTATAGGCAATTTAGCATGGCCAATGCTCATAGCCTGTACATCTTTGGACTGTGGGAGGAAACCAGAGCACCCGGAGGAAACCCACGCAGACACCGGGAGAATGTGCAAACTCCGCACAGACAGTCACCCAAGGGTGGAATTGAACCCAGGTGCCTGGCGCTGTGAGGCAGCAGTGCTAACCACTTCCTTCAAGCAGACTGCACCGGACCTCGCCTCCAGTCCGTGCCATACTTTACCTTATACTGCACTAAAGATGCGGCCCCACTCTGGGAACCAAGCTCTACCACAGCCAACAGCCCGAGTTCCCGTGTCCAGGCTTCAGGCATACCAAAGCCAAGGGTCCTCAATCTGCTCCAGCTTCCCTACAACATCAGAAGATGAAAGAAAACAAAAAGTAAAGAAAAAGGCAGAAAAGGAGAGAGAGAAGAATGCAGCTGGCCTGGAGCTCAGAAACCCTAACACTCCCTACCATGCAGGCACTGCCATCTCGTCTGTTATGAAGGTTACTTGCTACTTATCAGCCTAAGCCAAGATTTGTTCAGACTTTGCTGCATATGGACCTAGACTGTTGGTATTGGAGGAGTTGCAGATGTTACTAAACAATGTGCAATCATCAATAAACATCCCACTTCTGATGCTATGTTGGAGCAAAGATCATGGATGCAGTGGCTATAAATGGTTGAGCCTAGGACACACCTGAGGAAATCTTGCAGTGAGGTCAGATGACTGAATGATTGATCTCCACCAGCCACAATTATAATCTTCCTTTGTGTATGACTCCAAACAATGCAAAGTCTTCTCCTCATTACACGTTTGCCACCAGTCTGCACTAGGACCTCACCTCCAGTCTGTGCCAAACTCAACCACAAAGGTTTGCCAGGGTGCCTTAATGCCATTTTCTGACAAATGCAGCCTTGATGTCAAGGGCAGCCACTCACCTCATCTCTGAAGTTCAGCGGTTTTGTCCATTAATGGATCAAACCTGTAATGATCTCGGGAACTAAATAGCCCAGTCTAAGCTTCATCAAACAGGCTACTAACGCGCAAGGGCCACTTGATAGCTTTGTTCATGACCACTTTTATCACCGCATTGATGATCAAGAGTACGTTGGGGCAGTGCAGTGTCCTGGACTACCTGTTAGAAGCAGTGGTGTGAGTGTAGAAGCCAATTATCTCTAACTAAGCTGAGAGATACTTTGGAGGTCACCTACCCCATTGAAGGTATTCCCTTCCATATGAAAAGGATAGTACTTGGAAATAAAGCTACTACCTTGAGAATTTTCTTCTTATTTCATTTTAAATTGCTGTAATAACTGTTTGAGCAAGATGAATGCTACAGCCTTTGAGATTAGGACTGAAATCACTGCTATGTCATGGTGCAGAAAGCAGAACCAATATTTTCACATAATAAAACCTTGATTTATGAAGTTACTAAAATGCTGAACTGTTCTGCTGACCTTTGAGTTAAGGCTCCCTCAGGATGTAGTACTAATGAATATGAGGATATTTCTGCCTCTCACACGCCCCCATCCCTCTCTCTCTCTCTCTCGTGCCCCCCCACCTCACGTGGCCCCCACCTCCCCTTGCACACACTGATGCATGTGCATACACTCTCATGCAACTAATACAGTAGTCTAGATTCAATGCAGTGTGGATATGTTGCTGCTTCACCTGGAAGGTATGTTGGGGCCTTGGATGGTGAGGTGGTAAATTAACAAATGTTGCACCTTTTGCGAATGCTTGGGAAAGTGTCATGGGGGTGAGAGGTGGTGGTGGATTTGGAGGAGGAGTGGATCAGGGTGTCCTGGAGGGAACAGTTCCTGCAGAATCCTGACGAAGAAAGTAAAGGGAACATGTGTCTGATGGTGGCATCCCACTGGAGGGTCTAGAAATGACAGCTTATGATCTTTGGATGCAGAGGCTGGTGGGGTAGAAAGTGAGGACAAGGGAAGGGAAGGGGTTAAGGCAGAAGTGCGAGAAATGGTTTAGACACAGTTGAGGCCTCTATCAACTACTGTCACGGAATTCTCAGTTGGGGAGAAAGGTGGACATGGCTGAGCATCTCTTGTGGAAGGTGGCATCATCAGAACAGATGCAACAGAGACTGAGGAACTCTGAGAAAAGAATGGAGTCCTCACAGGCAGCAGGGTATGAGTATGTATAGACAACTTAACTGTGAGAATTGGAGGGTTTGTAATGGATCTTAGTGACCACCTTATCCCCAGAAATAGAAACAGGTGTCATGGCAGAGAAGGAAGGAGTCTGAAATGGAGACCATGTGCAGGTGGGAGTGAGATGGAAATTGAATGCAAAATTGATGCATTTTTCTAATTTTAAATGAGAGAGGGAAGCAGCACCAATTATGTCATTGATACACTGGAGAGACAGTTGTGTGGAGGGACCCAGGTAGGACTCGAACCCACAGAGATGGGCATTACTCGGCTCGTGCAGATACCCATAACCACACTTTTGGCCTGAATAAAGTGAGATAAGTTAAAGGAAGGGTTGCTGAGTGAGTATGAGCTCACGCAGGCAGAGCAGGGTGATGGTGGGTGGGGATGGTTCATATTTTGTTTCAAGAAAGAAATGACAAGTCCTGATAGAGGATAGATGTCTAGAGGGTTTGCTCGATGGTGAAGTGGAAATTTCAAAACTGATGTAAAGTGTAGAAGAATCATGGATGTAAGTGAGAAGAAACTTGGGCAAGGGGAGAAAATAACTTGTGTCAAGATAGGTAAAATTAAATTCCAATCAGAGAGGAACAGGCCGAAACAATGGGTTTGTTGGGGCAGTCCTGTTTGTGGATTCTGGGACGAAGGTAGAAGCAGGCTGTAGAGGATTGCAGACCAAAGAGATGGAAAGCTGGTGAAATTCCCAGATGAGATGAGGTTAGTCATTGTCATTCATTCGATAGTTTGATGTTCACTGGTAGAGTCATGGTTCAGGCTGGCATTCAGCCTCCGCAAGGTAGAGGTCAGTACGTCGGACAACAACACCATTCTTGTCAGCTGGTTTGATTACAAAGTCAAATTTGAATCTGAAAGTACGGAGTGCAGTCAATTCTGGCAGGGTTGCACTTTGTATGGTATGATATGCCTGTTCAGCATGCAAAAGAAAACCTTTCATTATACCTAGGTACATGAGACAATAATAAATAAAAATAAAGAATGGAGAGGGGAGCAGAGAAATTAAAGGGACCGATATCACATTGACAGCATCTCAGTGAACAGGTCAACAGATTCCCTGCTGCTGCTGCTTCCTTAAAAGACTTTCCCTTGTCAAGGTTTTATATAAACCATCTTTTATGTGAAATGCCTTTGAATATGTCTACATTAGATAGGTCCATGCTGATTGACTGTTTCAGTCCAACTCGTTCATGCCGATCAGGTTTCCCAAACTAAAATAGACCCATTTGCCTGTGTTTGGCCCATATCCTTTCTAAGCCTTTCCTATTCATGTACCTGTCCAACTGTCTTTTAAATGTTGTTATTGTACCCACCTCTGCCACTTCCTCTGGCACCTCATTCCATATACGCACCATCCTCTGTGTGAAAAAGTTGCCTGTAAGATCTCTTTTAAATCTTTCCCCTCTCACCTGAAACC